TAGAGCTTCTACACGGAATCAAAATCTAACAGGTGTGAAAATACTGATAGACCTGTATTAGCTAAGTTACATACTCTCACTGTAAATATTCAAAGTAATGATGAATTAATATTGTAAATTACAAAATGAAGCTTTAAGCTTGAATTTCTTTAAGTTTAGCTATAGAAAAACTATTAATTGTGATTTAATTCTTTTAAATTTTCAATGGTCGATCTTGAAAAATAAGTACAAATTGATCTTACAGGACAATTATATTTTTTCCATTAACACAAAGAGAGTTATATATACGTATCTAAAGGTAATTTGTTTAATTTCTTTAATAGGTGAATTTTTTTATCCGGCACATAATTACACAAGCGACTGTGTAAGCAATGTGACATATTGGGTATTTTAACAACTGATTAAAATGTCCTACACTCATTTATAAACATTGATTGTCATTTATCAAATTGATATGCCACTAAATTTTACAACCTAATTATACATCCCCATGTTGATTCCTACGAAGCCTACTTGCTGCGAAAATTTATTGCAGTGAAATTAATTCCATTTTTCCATTCTGATTTTTTCTCTATAGATTAAGGTACGATTACAAGTACATGTAAACAAATGTGTGAAGAGTAGATAAACAATTGGTACGTATCTAGAATGAATTGAGAGAGAGAGAGAGAGAGAGAGAGCAATTATACTACGAAACAGGATAAAATTAAAGCCAAAAATATTCAATTTGAAAAAAATTTAAACACGGATGATTTAAAAATTAATCGGAAGGGGCGGAAGAGGCGTGAAAAATCCAGAGATTTTGTCTCCCATCGGAAGAATCACATGTATTTATGTTATGAGATATCTGCATGTAATTACCATAGATATAGAGAAAATTCGAATTAAGAAAAAAACACGATCGTTTTCGGTAACTGGAAAAACCCGAAACCCCCCGATTTTTGGAGAATACCCAAACAGGAGGGGTGAAACCCCAATAAAGTGGTGGAAACCCCATAAAATTGAATGTAATGGGGTACTATAAGGTCTAAGGTGATGTTTAATTGAATGATATTGACATCCGTAAATTTTTATAGCCAATTTTACCTCAGAATCGATGGGTTTCTTCTTGTCTTGATATACTGCACACCACGCCCGATCTAAATTCGCGATCGCTGAAGTCGTTTCGAGTAATCCGTGGAAATAATTACTGTAATCTTCATCAATATTCATATTATATTATGTATGAATATTATTTTTTAAAAAAATATTTGTAAGGAAACATTAAGAATATAAAAGAAGTATGAAATATTTATCATGTTGAAAGACATTACAGTGCAATGTTTAATTGAATTCTTTTAATGAATTTAACTAGTCCATTAATCAAGAAATAAAGTCATTTTTATAAATTCCAATCATTTATGATATGTAATTAAATTAAATTAATTAATGAATGAATCTGTTAATGTAATTATTATAATGAAAAACATTACAGTGAAATTTTTAATTGAATGTTTTTTTTAAGAATTTAACTAGTCCATTAATCAAGGAATAAAGTAATTTTTCTCAATTCCAATCAGTTATAACCTGTTATTAAATTTAATTCACTAATGAATGAATTTGTTAATTTATTTAATTTTTAATTAAGGTGTTTGTTTTGAAATGTTTTCTTCTATGTTTAATGATCAATTTTTAAATTCAGTATTCATCCATTATTATTTTCCAGTTACTAATTTTTTGTTTTAATGTTTTTCGTTCTGTTTTTTGGGGAGAGTGTGTTGTTGTTGTTTGTTTGTTTTGTTTTGTTTTGTTTTTTTTTTGTTTGTTTTTTGTTTTGTTTTGTTTTTTTTTTTATTATGCAAGTAGTAGAAAAAAATACGTATACTCATTGCTATGAGAAAGCAACATGTATCCATTACAATGAAATTATTAGAATCCAGGTCTATGAAATAAAAAAGTCTGATAAAAAATAATGAAAATGTGCATGTTGCATATGTGAATTCTTGTACAGTTGGTATTGTAACATTATTGTGAGAATATTATTCACACCTCAGCTAGCTCTGTTGTTTTGTACTGGGATAGACAGGCATCCCTGTGTGTGTACATGCACTATATACACAGCTGTTGACACTTGGTCAACTTGATAATAAACACCTTTTGTTTAAACATCTGGGTTCCCAGCTAGTCTGACCAACCCCCCTCTGGAAGGGCATGTGTATATACACTGAACCTTTACTATTCTCAATTGTACAGTTATGCTTTACAGAATTTCATTTTAAGGACGTTAGCACACACAAGGAAAATATGAATTTTTATAATTTTGATAATTCATGACAAATTAATAAATAAAGACCCTTTAAATTAGTAATAACTGAAAATATTCATAGTTTCAGTATGTTCCCAGTTCTAGCCACGTGGAGGCCTCCTTAAGTGTAGAGCCATGATTTGAATTTTGAAACAAAAATATTAAAACCAAAGGACCGAAAGATAAAAAATAAAACTTAAAGATACTGGATCATTATTCCTAGTCAATTTTTTGTTCATATATAAAAATATTACAGCCAAATGAAAGTAATATACATGAAATAAAATAACATAATAAAAATTTTAGAGAAAAAAATTCATAATTTAATTAGCAACATTTAAAAAAACAATAACATTCCTAACCTAACACAACACCAAACAGTATTCACTGGTCTGCACCCGTCTGGCGGAGGAGGAATACTGCCTGATACTAATCCTTCTCTAATTTCTAACCTAACACAACACCAAACATGCAGTATTCACTGGTCTTTCAGTGACAAAGATACTACAACAAAAAGCTTTATTTATAGTCAATCTTTTGGAAGAGCAGTTGAATTTTGTCCAACAAAAGTGTTTCTACAAGTGGGACTGGGAGAAAAATATATAAATTCATCTTCTGTGTCAGAAATAGTGTTAGGAATCCAAAACATTATTGAAAAACTGTTAAGAAATGATTCGGTTCAAAAAATATTTATTGGAAGTCTGTTTAGGCAAATGATTTATGGTATTATGGATCCAGGAAAGTACAATTCTACGGTTTTTGATATAAATATAACACACTCCGGAGGAAATATGGAAATTCTCAGAATGTGATATTTTGGAGATGTAAGGGTTTAATGAATTCGAATAAAAACATTTGGCATGTCAATGGGATTAGTTTAAACAGAGAGGCAATGGAAATTTTTAGTCGACAGATTCAGCTTGCAATGAAATGTAAAATTACATAAAATACCTGTGCTTGGAGATGATCAAATAATTTCAGTTATCTTTCAACCAGTTTAGACAGACATTTTTCATAGTTAAAATTCCATCAAAACTTCAGTTCTTTTATTTTGTTGTGTGATTTTTTTTTTCCTGTGTTTTTTTCTTTTATTTCATATTTGTTGTAATTTAAAGACAATTCAAAATCTAAACAACTGATGTAAAATATTTTTTTTTCCCAAGAAAAGAACATAAAAAAGTAACTTTGAAATAAAATATCTATATATTTGAAAATTGATATATTATTTTAATTTACTATTTATTTCAGGTTTCAGTATTTTCATCTTTTTACATTGATTTATTTTTTGTCCTTACATTTTTTGTTAAATACTTATTAAATAATTAATATTTTACTATTATCATTGTAAAACAATTATAATTGTGGAAATTATTATGAATTTATATTATCTATACAATTATATTGACAAACAGCTCGCTTCGAATTTAGATCGGGCGTGGTGTACGGATTTCCTTCGATTCTGAGGTAAAATTGGCTATAAAAATTTACGGATGTCAATATCATTCAATTAAACATCACCTTAGGCCTTATTGTACCCCATTACGTTCAATTTTATGGGGTTTCCACCACTTTATTGGGGTTTCACCCCTCCTGTATGGGTATTCTCCAAAAATCGGGGGGTTTCGGGTTTTTCCAGTCACCCGATCGTTTTTTGAAGTAAATAAGCCAAGTAGTACTCCAACACGGATTAAATTATGGAGATTTATTGACAGTTTAAGCATGTTATATGGAAAATTTAAATGGTTTGGATTTTTGTTGCAAAAAACGAGTGAAAATACGTACCAGGTGTGCTTTGCATGTATTGCACGTGTATAAATAATATTATCTTTTTTTACTGGCCAACGGGGCGACCCTCTTGCAGAAAACCACTAGCCCGACCCCCGGGTATCGGTCGATTTTCATTGCAGACCTCTGATTAAAAAAAGAACTATCAGTGCATTCATAATTTTTTTCACAAAAGCCCGTTTTCAATAGATATGTGTTTATGTGGACTACAAGTGTCCTTTCCTTGACTTTAAATAAATTCTACAACTGCATAATGTACGTATGAATCATATCAAACAACTTACAAAGCTTTTTTTCAATGTGGTGCAACAAAATAGTAAGACTTACTGCATTTGCTTTTTGTGTTTCCGAATTTCCTCACTGCTAATACAAAATGTCCAAACACAGCTACTTCCGTATTCTGCGCATGCCCAGTTAGTTTTAAATATATGCGCATGCTCAGGTATTCGGAACTCCTCGATTCAATTACCGAACTCCTCTAAACAGCAGATTTCTGAATGTCTGAGCGTTTTGGGCTAAGGACATGTCCAAAATTTGGACAAAGTCTTTGTGAGGTTAAATCTAATTTTAGGTTTTTCGACCTCATAGAGTAATTTTGAACGTAATTAGACCTCTTCATTATGGGGTTAACCCCACAGTACCCAAAAAACCCCACACTGCTGGAAAATACGTTAATTTTACCCCACAATGTACCTCTCGTAAGAACAGCTAGACGGACAGACGGACATGAAGCCTATAACATAATACGTCCCGTCTTAAGACGGGCGTATAAAAAGACAAATGTTTGTTAAAAGACTATAAATTTAGAATAAATATCAAACTTGTACACAAAAAATCCGAATCTGTAAATAGGGCTTCTTTAGAATAAAATCTAAAATGTATTACAAGTAGTAGAAATTTGAAAGTAGAATACATAAAGTTGTGCACTCACTGAATAGGGGTTATGGAAACTCAACACTGGAACTTTGTGATTCTGTAGGGGCACTTGTTGTAAAAGAAGTAGAGTGGTCCATCATCTAAAACAACAACAAAATAGACAAAATTACTTTAAAGAAGGATATGGAGATAACGAACAGTATTCAACCTAAAAGTCCATAAAACAATACAAAATAAGAGCAGAGCAAACACGGACCCCCTAAACATCAGAGGTGGGATCAGGTGCCATGGAGGAGTGAGCATCCCCTGCTGACCGGTCACACCCGCCGTGTGCTCCTTGTCTTGATCAGGAAATAATGGAAAAAATCTGTCATCAATTCAGTGTATAAATAATGGACTATCAATTGGTATGAAAAACGTCAGTCAGCTTTTGACTCAATGATAAACCGTATTTGCTGACAAGGTCATTGTATCGACCATAGAACTTAGGAAATGTGATGACTTTAAACAAGACTGCTGATATTCTTGTTTCATTAACTTGCTTGTCAATAATTTACCTCATTTTGGAAATTGTTCATACATTAGTTAGGACTTGGACTTGCTTTTATGTGTATATGTTGTTGGAATTCATAATTACTTTAATAAACTGTCATTGTTACCCTACAAATTTGGACTTATGTGTTTCCTAACATTCCCCAAACCCTTGAGCTAAATTCCCCAAATGAATGTGCACCGCAGAATAATGTCTAAGACAGACCAGCATTTATATAGTACTGCATGTTTTCATTGTTTTACTGTTACGTATATGTTAAACATGTCAGTCAAAAGCTCATTAGAGCTTGTGTTACTTTTTAACTACCATACTGACTTTAAATAAAGCTTATCTTATCTTATCTTAAAAAAATGTTGCTGTGCTTGAAGCATTTGTACAGTGCCCTTTTGTTAATTTAATATTTTAGCATTGCTCTACATACATTAAGGTTCTTAATGTATTATTTTCCAGGGAAATTTCATGGATAAAATAACAATCAAGTTGTAATAATAGAAATATTTATATCGTAGATTGAACGCAAAGTAAATGGATCGAAGAGCGAATGGTGAATGTTTTGTGAAAGGTGAAAGATGAAAGCGAGCGCACAGTGAACACTAAACGCAAAACTGTGAACACACAACAAATGGTGAACGCACGCTGAATGAATGGTGAATAAATGGTGAATGAAGGGAAAAATGGGAAAGTGGAACATTTCAGGGACTGTAATCAATAGAGCTCCACCCTAACACCAGAACCCCTGACCCTGCCCATACCGAAAAAAGTTATAACTTAGTTATAACTTTTGTAACTAAAAAAAGTTACAAAAAAGTTATAACTAAGTTATCGGAGTTTGGAATGGCATGTTTTAAGTGAGGTATAATTTAGTTATAACTTAGTTACAAAAAAGTTTATAACTTTTGCATAACTTTTCACCTTTTATTCAACATAAATACAGCAAGTACATAAAAGTTATAAAAAAGTTATAACTACAAAAAGTTATACTTATTAAAAGTTACACAAAAAGTTATAAAATAGTTACAAAGTTATACTTTAGTTATACCCAAATAAACAGTGGAAAAGTTACAAAAAAGTTATACCCAAAAAAAGTTATGAAAAAGTTACAAAAAAGTTATACCCGGAAAAAGTTATACCCAGGAAAAGTTATAACTAAAAAAAGTTATACCTATTATAAAGTTATGAAAAAGTTACAAAAAAGTTATACCCATTAAAAATTTATAACTTAAAAAAGTTATACCTATTATAAAGTTATGAAAAAGTTACAAAAAAGTTATACCCCAAGAAAGTTATGAAAAAGTTATAGAAAAGTTATACCTAAAAAAAGTTATAACTGCAAAAAGTTATAACTATAAAAAGTTATACCTATTAATAAAAACTTTCGTAAAAGTTCCAGTGAAATTATACACTGTATGTTAACCTGTTGTGGATTTACTCAGTTATAAGCTTTTAAAAAGCTACTCATTAAAATAAAAAAAAAAAAAGATTTTTGAAATTTATACAAAAAAGATTATTTAAAACATATTAAAGGCAATAACAATTTTACCTAACAAACACGATAAAGATAGCTTGGTTTATTGTCAAATACAACTAAATGAATGCACATGCAATTGTTTTCAAAATTCAAGTGTACCTTATTTTTCACCATGTCATCTACAACAGATTGAAATTTCTCTGGTTGTTTTAAAGAATACATTTTTAGCATATAGCAATTAGGGTCTTTGTAAAGTTACCTAGCAAACTGCATTCTACTCTTGCTAATTGTATAAACAGACATCACTAATTTTTAAATATTAACACCCTATTTATTTTTGATCTAGCTGTATTTCAAAAAAAAGAAAGGTTCTAAACAGTGATTTCAGTTACAGTTTCTAGCTGCATACCACCCTCCTTGCACAGGTATCCTTGCAGGTGTACAGTTGTTTATCTTTATTATTTGAAGATAGGCTGCACTGAAAGTTGGCTGAGTTAGCTGACAGACTTAGCCATCGTTTGACAGGCCGCACTGGTAGTAGACCAAGTTAGCTGACAGACTTAATAGCCATTGTTTGACAGGTCAAGTTAGTTGACGGACTTAACCGTCCCTTGACAAGCCGCACTGGTAGAAGGCCAAGTTAGTCAACGGTCTTAACCGTCCCTATATTGACAGGCCGTACTGGTAGTAAGCTAAGCTAGTTGACAAACTTGGCCATCTCTTGACATGCGGCACTGGTAGTAGGTTAAGTTAGTTGACGGACTTGGTTGTTCAATGACAGGCCGCACTGGTAATAGGCCAAGTTAGTTGAAGGACTTGACAGGCTGCACTGGTAGTCAGCCGAGCTAGTTGATGGACTTGGTCATCCCTTGACAGGCCGCACTGTGTCAGCCGAGCTGGCCGAGGGACTTGGCTGGTGGTCTGCGTCCCTCATTTTAGCTGGTCAGACGTCTTGGCTGGCGGGCAGTGTGACTGGTAGTCGGCTAAGTTTTCATTGAAATATGCTTGCAATTTTAACCTTTTCTTCAATTCTGCAAAAAATTGTAAAGGTTCAAAATTTAGATTATAGATATTTAGATAGTATATTTCCAGCACTCATTTGCATATCAAATTGAAAACACTCTTCCATATCAATTAATTCAAATTCATTAATTCATCCAAAACATGGAAAATACAAGACTAATTTAAGATCTATACTTACAGGAATCAGTTTTTGATTGAAAGATTTATTGAATTTTGAAATGAAAAAAAAAATTACTTTACCTTAAACAAGTAATATTTTGAAGAATTTCATGTACTCCAGGTCAGGACAGATTCAGCTCATGGAAACATCATGTACCAATATTCTGCTTTATAAAAAAAAAAGAAAATTAATGTTAAATTACTCATTTCATTGCATTAATTAACGTTGCAGCTAGATCATGTTATGATCATGCTGATGCGTATAAGGCTTCACAATATTTTAACAGTTCAGGGAATCTATAAACAATTGTGGGAATAAATATGACAAAGAATAACATATTTGATTAATATACTAAATGCTGAAAAATATTATGCGTTTCAAATACTTTCAATTTGTTTACTTCAGTCTTTGTCATTCGACATACCAATCAAAACAAACAAGAAATCTAAGATTCACACGCCTAGAATTTTGTTCATTCCCAATATTTCTTCTTTTTGGAATGTTATTCCAGAGGTACTAAGTATACTTTACCAAAATCAATAAAATGTTAGCATAAATATCGCCTTACCAACTGGTTTTATCTCCTTTTTTTTATCAACACTTTCAACATCCAAACATTCAAATCGTCCATGGAAAAATCCGCGCTCTGTTATTGACCAATCATAGAACTCAAAAACGTCACGTGATCGAAAAAAATAAATAAATAATTCATAATTAATTTATTTTAAATGCAAATAAACCTAATTGTGTAATTTTAAACTTAAATTAAAAATATAAATACCAGTTGGTGTTAAATTTTGAATTTATCTTAGTATCAACAAAACGGACATCGGAGGCCGCCATATTTTTTGTTGCCGCCATTTTGAATTTAATATTTGTTTATTTGTGAAAATAACTATTATAACTGGGTTATTTAATTATGCAAACAATAAAATCTACATGTACTAGTCATCTGCTTAAATCTTAATATAACTGGCAGTCTTTATTCACAACATCGTAATATCTGTTCAACATGAACATGCACATACTCTATGCTGTTGTTTATCTTTTTAGCCACCCATATTACGACTGATTTTCTTCAGATTTCAAACAACCTGTGTAGAATTGTACCATTCAGAGATTGTGTAATACCCAAGCTGAAATATTTACGATGTGTTGGCCACAAAGGTCACCTAGTACAAACACCTGTCTCACAGAAAACAATAGGGAAATTTACACAGTTTTGCACACGAAGAATCCGTGCAAAATTCACATGACTTCATGAGATTACATTTCATACTGTTTATATCTCTTGCAGTACATTTATATTTCCCCAGAATTATGAAATATATTCATTCCCAACTTCAGATGTAAGTGCATTATTATAATTTACAAGACAAATATTATGTCTCATCAGGGTCTCAATAAATACGTATTTTCTAAGAGAGAGAGAGAAGGAGAGAGAAAGAGAGAGAGAAATTAATTATTCTCAACTTTAGTTGAAACTTACATGACAAATATCAATTTAAATAGACAATAATATTTATAATTATTACACACACATATGTACTGTGTACACACCCTCAAACACCACAGAGAGAGAGAGAGATAGAGAGAGAGAGTTTCTCATTTATAGATGTAATTCACAAGATTATATTTCACATCCCTTCTGTTGAACTTGACATGGCTGTGGACAGCATATTTATTATGAATGAGAAGTCGATCACTGGTAGTAAACAATATTATTGTTCAGGAATTGACAAAGTTTTCTGCTGCAGTGTTTGAAAAAAAAAAACCATTTTGAACATTGATCAAAATTCATTCAAATTAACACTTAGTTATAATGTTATTTTTGAAAAAAAAAAAAAAAGTCGGTGTCAAGTAGTATCCATTAAATAACCCCCAAAACTTGTAAATTTATACTGGTAATGCTTGAAAATGGCTAAGTTCAGAAAAGTTATGTTTTAGTTATACATGAAAATGACAAAGTCCAGAAAAGTTATGTTTTAGTTATACATGAAAATGGCTAAGTCCAAAAAGTTACATTTTAGTTATACATGAAAATGACAAAGTCCAGAAAAGTTATGTTTTAGTTACACGTGAAAATGGCTAAGTCCAAAAAGTTACATTTTAGTTATACATGAAAATGACAAAGTCCAAAAAAGTTACATTTTAGTTATAACTTTTTTGTACCTCACAGGCTAGGTATAACTAAGTTATACTTTAGTTATAACTTAGTTATAACTTTTTTCAGTATGGGTGGGGTCATAAAATTCACAATTTTGGAGGAGGCATACTTTCTCATCATAACTATGTACCTACTTAGTTTGTTTAATACCCAGGAGCAGAGAAGAAGATTTTTAAAGAAATAATGCATTTTTACTATATTATAGCCATGCACTAACCAAAGAGTTAGGGGTCTTACATAATTAATATTTAAAATTTTTGAATATTACAATATTTAGATTTCTATTTAAACTACAGTTTTCTATTTTTAAATTATTCATTGTAGCATTTAATTGATACAAATTTCCTTTAAGTTTTTAAGTTTAGCAGATGGCTTGTAAGTTGTATATATGTCTCGTACATTGTTATCTAGTCTTTGAAGTCAGTTTAGTTAATCCCCTGTGCAATTGTCTTTTGTTACCCTGAAGACAGAATAGGTGTCACAGTAATTAACACTTTACCTGTCCACATCACTATTGTAAAGATGTCAAACAATCCTTCAGTAAATTAAATAATCACTCAATTTTCCTTAAGGATAAGATTATATCTTATAAAAAAAAAAGAAACAAGTCTTTGAGATATTCTGGGAGTTGTAGTTTAGCAGTAAGAGAGTTAGGAGCTAGGGCTAGAGCTAGCAGCTGGCAGACCCAGTCTTGAATTGTAAATAATGTACCAATTACTCGTTTAATAAAGACTGTAAAGACATTTTATCTTATGTCTTATTCCTTGACAAATCCATGTCAAGGACAGTAACCATGTCTATTGGTTACTGCGTGACCCAGTGTTGAGGCCCCGTGTACATGTGTATGCAATAGGGTGCACTACTTATTCCAAGTGGACCCCTACCCTCCCCCAATTGGCGGTCACGATATATTAAATAGAGCCCCATCTTAACACCAGAACCCATGACCCTGGGGCCATAAAATTTACAATTTAAGAAGAGGCATTCTTCCTTATCCAACTATATACTTAGTTAGTCTGTTTAATACCCAGAAGCAGAGAGGAAGATTTTCAAAAAATAAATGCATTTAATTAATTAGACTCCCAGCAGAAAATTCATGAAAGAGAAAATAAAGATTAATGCTAAACATAGAACCTTCATCGTATGACATCATAACTAGTGAATGTGTCAAGCTTGTGCTAGATCCATTATGACGTCATAATTAATTCAATGTCACTTTTTCCTGTACTTTACAGCTTCAATAGAAATGGTAGAAAATACTGCATTTTGAAATTCACAGAATTCAATGTAAAATCATGCCAAAATAATCTACGTAATTCACTTGATATATTTTTGTGGTTTATAATGCTTTTTAAAATGACAATATATTTCTGAAAATAGAGAAACCTGCAGGCACCTTTCATTTACTAGATCTTGGCCTTAATTAAGTTGACAAATCCAAGACTATATTGTGTAATGAAATTACAATGTATACAACTTACTGTAATAATTTGAATAGTATGTAACCATTTTGAAGGAATGCAAAAATCCTAAAAAATCTTCAGATGCCTTCTAAATAGTGTAATATTTTGATGAAATTTGTCTGATTAGCCAAATATGTACGTGTTGTAGTGCGCGTGATCATTTGTAGATTTTTGTGGTATCTGTAATGAAATGATGTGCATTCCTTTTCATATTTGTTTGTTATTAATTCATATTCTTAGTGTTTGATTACAATTTTTCAATTAGATATGATTTTTTAAATTAAAAGTACAATTTTTGATAATTATTTTTAATCTGAGAGTAATCCAAAACAGTCATTAAATATAAATCCCGTGTAAGTACAAAAAGGTCAAGAATAGTAGAATCGGTAAATAGCCTATCTCTCATTAGTAATGGGTGAAAGGTATATATTTTAATCACTTTTTGTAATCATTTTGGTATGTTTTTCATCATATTAAAGGTTGAAAACGTGACAGACTTCTAAAAAATATTTACAAATGTAGGGTGTAAAATTGACTTATTTTTATATAATAGAGTTCATATGCCTATTCTTTATAAAATGTGGACTTATCTTTTTTGTATATTGAATAAAAAAGAAATTATTCTTGAGAAATATTGCTTAATATTGTTCAGGTAATAAAGTCTATAAACGACGATGTTTGAACAGGTATTTTTGTGATTTTACATATTCTCTTCTTGACAAGTACCCCTTCAAATAACTGAAAATGTGTAGTCGCAGTATGTAATTACCATACCAAGTTTCATAGGCTGTACTATATTTAAAAGCAAGGAAACATATCATGAGCTTTAAATTGATTGATAAGCAAGTACTAATTTATCAATTTGAAAAGTTTGAAAATCCTGTGATAAAGACTTTTCCGACATAGGTTCTACCTTAAACAAAAATTTGAGATCAGAAAAAAATATGCCTTTAAGAAAATTGAAAGTAAACATACCTACCCCGAAATGCACATGGGATTCACATTTTGACAAACAGCCTACACACCATCCAGGAAGTTGCATCATGCCCACCTGAAAAAAGAGTTCCTTTTAATTCAGTGGGATGATTCTGCTAAAGATATGATATTCCTAGTACATGTACATGAGTCCAAATTTAATAATGTAGGCCTTAAACAAAATGCCAAAAATGAAAAAAGAAAAAAATGTCCCTATATATATATGGAACTTCAATTGACCAAGTTCATTTTGATTGGCAATTTCCTTGCGCATGACCTTTAAGACAATTAAAAGTTAATGAAATGAAAGGAAAATTGCAGAAAATGTCTATTATTATTTATTTATCTTTCATATACTACTGCAAAAAATTTATTTTTGTCCTTAAAGGTACTTGGACACAGATTTGAAGTTATTATTTTCTCTATAATATTACGACTTATATATTTTAAAAGCATTTCACACAAAAATTAATTAAAAATCTTATTTTGTTTAAAAGATATTGAAATTTCAAATTTTTCGGCGGGTTTGATTGATATATCCTTGCACTCTCACAAATTTAATTTTATTTTCAATCCTTAGGAAAAATGGCAATCTTGTTTTTGTATAAATGAAAAATACTAATACTATAACCCAGAAAATTCAGAGTAGACACGTTCGAGAGCAAAACAAACACACAATATATTGTCAGTCTGTGCAGTTGTGGTAAGCAGACTGTGACGTCAATCGTATGGTATTAATATTTTTCATTTATACAAAAACAAGATTGCCTTTTTTCCTAAGGATTGAGAATAAAATTAAATTTGTGAACTCTTAATATAAACAATAACAGAACTCGAGCCCTGTTTACAAAAACTGTGTACATAACACAAGTGTGCTCGATTTGCTAAACTCTGTACACATCTCTTAGTTCGGAATGACGATGCTTGTGAAGATGTTTTGCTTTCTTACATTTCTACTCTGAATAAAATTATTTTTCTTGATAAAAGTTTTAATATTTCTCATTAAAACACATCAAAATTGCCACTTTTCTAAGGATTAAGAAAAAAGTTAAAATTTGTGAAAGTGCAAGGATGTGTCAATCAAACCCGTCAAAAAATTTAAAGTTTTAATAACTTTTAAATGAAATAAGATTTTTAATTAATTTATGTGTGAAATGCTATTAAATTGCGGTGATTTTCTTTGATCTTTCTGTGGTGATATATCCCATATCACTTATGCGATAATACTTTCCACGCCCCTTATTATATCACTGCAAGAGGCAGAATTCAGGTCATGAGAAAAAAACTGATTTTATTTCACAAGTTCATAACCACAGAAAAATGAACATGTATAGCTATTTCTTAGCCTTTAACTAAATCAAAATACATGTATTTAACTCGGTTGAAAGTTCTCAGTCGTTCAAAAGATTAATCGATTTTGAAAATTTGAAAGTTACGGTAAAATCTCCAAATTTTTTATTGTTAAATTCCTTGCTATTTGTTTCTGTGATTTCATATATGTCGAGTGCCTGGCTCAAAAATAAATTGTCAAAATCTTCAAACTCAGTTAAAAACTCAAAGTCAAACTCACTAGGACGTCTAACATGTTGGAGAGCTAGCTTGAAATGAATCTTTTTTTAATTATTGAATTTTGACACTCTCAATGAAAGTTACGTCATCAGATATGCGACAAGTTGCTTACATCATAGGTGCCTCGTACTATTGGTTATATCATTTTCATGGGGCGTGGAAATCGAGGGCGCGGACCTATACATATATAATATGTGTTATTATACAGAAAATATGAGAAAATATTTACTTCAAATCTGTGTCCAAGTATCTTTAAGGGATGAAAAATAGGAGACAACTCTTCCTAACAGTTTATTAAATTTTAGGCTAAATTTCTGTACAAATTCATCTTAAGTATATTAATGTCAAAACTTAATAAATATTAATGTGTGAATTATTTAGAAAAAAAATTGAATGAAATGAAAGCTGAAATACTGGAGTTTTTGGCTATCTGCTAAAAAAAATGTCAACTCTAATTAATGAGCTGTAATTAGCTAAGAAACAGGACATTAACTGCTTTTTAAGGTATTAATTAGCAAAACAGTGAAAATTTTAATTCTAAAACAAAGTCAGAGACTGGAAACAAGAGGCCAATGGGCTACATCACTAACCTGACCACTGTGGCTAGGAAAAAGTAGAAATTGGTTTTATTATTGAAAAGTTTAAATCTTAAAGTAAATCTTTGACCAGTTATGGTTTTGCTATTCTTAAGATCATATTTAAAGAATTAAAGGGGTCATGATTTAAACAAACTTGAATCAACACTACCTGAGGATGCTTCCATATAAATATGATCAATTATGGCTTTGTTATTCTTGAGAAGAAGATTTTTAAAGAATATTCCTTTATATTTCTATGTAAATCTTTGGTCGGCCATTGTAGGCCCACCCTTCCCCCAGGGGTCATTATTTTAACAAATTTGAATCGACACTACCTGAGGATGCTTCCATATAAATATGATCAATCATGGCTTTGTAATACTTGAGAAAACTTGAATCCCCTTCACCCAAGGATGCTTTGTGGCAAGTTTGGTTGAAATTGACCCAGTGGTTCTTGAGAAGTCAAAAATGTGAAAAGTTTACAGACAGACAGATGGACAGACAGCTACACAGACAGACAGACGGAGGCCAGACAAAATGTGATCAGAAAAGCTCACTTGAGCCTTTGGCTCAGGTGAGCAAAAAATGGTGTCAAATGAGACTTCAATAATGTACCTTGGAGCTTTGGTAACGGTGACCACTGATTAATGGCTGGTGATTAAGATCAGGGGTTCTTAAGCAGTGGGGGTGATGAGGCTTTTCCATCAGTCATCAAAGAATTGAGTTTCTCTTAGAAGACCAGGCAGCTCTAAAATAAATAAACAACACAAAAGTTTACAATACTTTAAAATGTGCACCACATACAATAGCATATTCTTAGAAAAAAACTACAAGTATACATTTTAAATATTAATTTGCAAAAAAAAAGGACCAACATAGTTGCATCAACATCAATACAAACAAGAGGCTCATGGGCCACATCGCTCACCTTAGAAACTTAGGCCATGCTGTTCTTTAACAGATCCCCCCTTTGTAATACGAATTGTGACCACGCTCTACCCCAGGGGTCATGATTTGGACAATTTTAAATCTACATTACCTCAAAGTTTCAGCTTTTCTTGCCCGATGGATCTTGAGAAGAAGATTTTCAAATATTTTTTCATATATATTTCAATGTAAAACTTGGATTCCCTATTGTGGCCCCGCCCTACCCAAGGTGGGGGGGGGTCATGATTTGAACAATTCAACATAAGTTTCAGCTTTTCTGCCCAGTGGTTCTTGAGAAGATGATTTTTAAAGTTTTTCCTATATATTTCTAATATGTAAAACTTGGATTCCTTATTGTGGCCCCACCCTACCTCTGGGGGTAATGATTTAAACAATTTAGAAATACACTAACCCAGGAAGCTTATATATAAGTTTCAGCTTTTCTGGCCCAGTGGTTCTCGATATGAAGATTTTAAAAGTTTTTTCCCTAAATATTTCTATGCAAAACTTGGATTCCCTATAGTGGCCCCACCCTACCCCCGGGGGCCATGATTTGAACAATTTAGAATCTGCACTACCCCAGGATGCTTTCACATTAGTTTCAGCTTTTCTGGCCTAGTGGTTCTTGAGAAGATTTTTAAATGACTCCACCGGACAGACAGCTAGACAGACGGATGGACAGACGATGTACAACAAGTGATCAGAAAAGCTCACTTGAGCTTTCAGCTCAGGGACCACCAGACAAGACCAACTTCTAGTTCCCATTAGAAGACTAAGTAAAGAGGAGTTTCAGGACATTGTACGGCCACAGAAAAATGGAACGTTTGCAGTTATAATAGATGCCGAGAGCCAAAGCAGTCAGATGAAGTTTCTACGACCCAAGCCAAGTGAGGTCCAGCCAGTAGACACCTACATGGAATCTGTGTCAGATGACCCAAATTCAAAATTATACAAGGTACTTCACCAAGAAAAGACTGCTAAATTGTGGAACAATGCATTTAAAGAACACTCACATAAGTTTCCAGACTGTGATGGTCCACTGGACTGGAATCAGCATGGGGAGGAAAAACGAGGCCTGGCATGGATCCTTTCCATCCGATGTAAGAAATGCCACTATATCAGTCAACAAGAAAAGCTTTACAAAGAGGTGAGGAGATCGCTGGAAGGGGATGAAGAGCTGCACAGCTGAATGTGGCCATGGCTGTCAGTCACCTTTGTACCAGTATTACAACAGAAGGTATGCGTGGTATGCTTCTTGGTGCAAATGTTGAACAAGCGTCAGCCGCCAACATGCAACATACCTGCAACAAAGTGGGGAAAATTATTCATACATGCCAACTTTTGAAAATTCCCATGGGGGATTTAGCGCGTGATGACAATTTTCAAATCTCTAAATTCGCGACATTTTGTCGTGAAATTAAATGATAATAAAATTATCTTTTTTTAAATTTATAATATTTGATATCACTTATTAATACAACTAAAGGATTAATTTAACACAAAAAATTAATTAAAAAAATTTATTTTTTAAATTCTTTTTTTTTTTTCCAAAATTGAAACATTTTTGCTAAAATAAGTGCCTCTCTCATTAAAAGCATGATTTTTTTCCTACCAGCTAGGACACATAATTTAGTGAAAAATTGAAAATTGTACAACTTTTAAATCATTTTTTTTCAAAGGCTGAAAAATATATGAGGTTTTGATACTGTAAAGTCCTGTTTCTGGAAACATTTTTGAGATTTTTTATTTATATTTCAATTAATTAGAAATTCTAATAAGGTATTAAATTTACTGAAATTTATACCACCTATCCAAAGGAGAATTATTTTTTTTACAGTCATGAAATTTGTCAGGCTTGATGGTGCCATGTGGGTATTTCCTTAAGTCGTGCACATACCTAAAAAATATTAGTACTATTGGGAGAAGGAAGGGAAAAGAAATTCTAATTTACATACACTTGATTGTTTCATCTTAATTTCATAATATCTTAACTGGCCATCTTTATAATATTTTTTATTATAGGTAGGCCTAGATAAAATAAGCAGCTATGCTTTGTAGTTTTCTACTTTCGTTTTCAAAAAAACGATCTCTTTGGATTCCTATTTTATAGTTTGATTAGTATTTCATTGTCTTTAATTTATGTTTTTAATAAAATGACTAACAATTAACACGTTAATCTATGTTTCGCCTTGCATACCCCTTAAAACTGACAAGATAATCCCCTAATAGCCCCAAGCTATAAGCTACTTGTACCTGGACAACTGCGTGCGTTCAAGCGTGAAGTGATTTCCTGTGGTTAATTAACATTGTTAGATAAACAGAGTGCATTGAATAAACAAGTTTGACATTGTTATCCCGATTGTCAAAATTCAGTGGTAGGGAATCTTTTATAATCGGAAATTTTAGAGATTTTTTCAAATCGGGAAATTAGGGCAATTTTGCTTTCCCGATCGGGAAGGCGGGATGAAAGGGTAAAATCGGGAGGATCCCGCCTAAATCGGGAAAGTTGGCATGTATGATTATTACCAATGTAAATAAAAACAGTATGAAGAAAATTTAAGAACTTAATAAAAAATGTGGACTTCGAATACCCCTATCAGCTAGAGCAGAAGGAGACACTCAGTACAATAATGCCACCTTCAGTGCCATTGGGAAAATCCTATTCCAAGCTGCCACCCAGGTGACGTATACCATAAGTGAAAATGTAATCTAGACGAAGAATGTGGTAGAAGTTTTCTGTGGAAATAAACTATGTAAGAAAGGTGCAGACCTACTAAGCAAAGGAAAGGAAGTTACCTGCCCAGGACATAAAGACTGCACTGCAACCATTCCTTCAGAGACCACCATTTGAGACAAGAAGAGATGGGCCACTAATTGTGTTGGTGAGTTACAAAGTGATGACCGTCCACTAGTAATATCCAATTTCACCAATGACGGAGACAGTGCCGCTGCATCTGGTGCATCTGAAAAACAAGGACATGTGATTGAAAACCTTAAGGACTTGCGTCACTTCTTTGACTCTCAAAGAAAGCAGACTGCTAAGGCTCCATTCAGCAGTCACATGTTTCCGGGAAGAACCAAGGCCATAAGAGAATCCATGCAGAGAAGATTTGCCTTGGACCTGAAGCTTCGATGCAGGACAGAGTACTAGAATTGCTAGCAGCTACAAACACTACTACGGCGACTTACCTTTGATGAAGCGTGCTATGTCTACTGTGCTTGGTTCCCTCATAAAACTGCTACCAGGGACAGTGCGGTAGGTCCTGTCAACTCCATCCCTTTTCCTGTCGTGGACTGCAAAGCAATGAGTGGAAATCTTCAGTGTTGCCTAGTGACTTTGAATTAAACATGACAGAAAAAGACAAACGTTTGTTAAAAGACTGTATAAATTTGACTTTAGTACAAAGTAATGTTGATAGAATCAAATATCATACTTGTACACAAAAATCTGAATCTGTAAATAGGGCATATTTAAATTAAAATCCAAAATATTGTAATAGAAATTTTGAAAGTAGAATACATAAAGTTGTGCACTCACTGAATAGGGGTTATGGAAACTCAACACTGGAACCTTGTGAATCTGTAGGGGCACCTGCTGTAAAAGGAAGTAGAGTGGTCCATCATCTAAAACAACAAAATAGACAAAATTATTTAAAAATGAAACAAAAACTGTTAAAATATAAATCTCAAAGAAAATACCACAGATCTAAAAGACATCAGCTGTACAATAAAAAATGTAAAGACACTTACAGTAAATCATCAATAGATCCAAAATTAAAAAGGAAGTTGTAAGACTGTGAAGGGTTGGGGGTGGGGGGATGATGATATGTACAGTCATGGGACATAAATATTCGCCACTTTCAAAATGGCCGCCAAAAACGCACGTCCGCTTTACTAAGTTTCTTTACTGTTTGTGGTCGATAGAATTAAAATCTTACCTCAGTATTTGGTCAGATTTCCTTTCATTTTGATATTAAGGTTGCGGCTTGTTGTCTTCAGTAAATAAAAAATCACAGCTGTAAAATCAGTATGTACCTGATTAGTGTACTTTTTTCTCTAATAAATCACAAACAATTCTTTAAGTTTTTGCCTTTTAAATACAGTTATCTGGATACAATCTGCGCCATCGTCACATTCTCTAATTTTTATTTTGATGCAGTTGTGACGTCACCGATCAACAGTATTGAAACCCTATGACAAAAATCAATAATTTAACGCTGCGTGAAAAACGACAAAGCTCTAAATAAAGATTATAACTCCAGAATGCTTTCTATGATTTTTTAAGTTCTTCTATTTAAGTCCTTCTTGAAATAGATATACTATTGAAAAATGTTGCTTTTTCTGAATGTCAAAACCCCCAAGTGTGAAGAGTTATCGTTCTTTGTACAAATATGCGAAAATATGACAAGAAAAAATAAAAATATGGCAGTTCTCTTCAATTTTTAAAAAAGTTTTATTATACAATTAAAAACATTGACCAAAATAAAATTTTTAAAGATGTAAATCAGCAATTTTAAATTATTCTGAATTTCTTTTTTTGGAAGAATATTATTAAAAACTTATATTTATTCCTTTTGCAAAACATTTCATATAATATATATATATACTTCTCAACACCTTGTTTAAGTGTAGTAGAGCTTGTGCTACACTAGTGTGAAATAGCAGTTGCATTCATAGCAGAAGCAGTTGCGTCTATAGTCCTATGAATGCAATTGATGACTGCATGTTCATAGTTGGAGAAAGCAGTGGATATGCAAATATAAATAAATAGCATCAATGCCATTGCTTTACCAAGCAACAATGTCAATTTAACTTGTTTTAACATTGAAGGTTTGATCCTGATATTTACAGTCTTCAACTTTTTATGTCAAGTAAAAACTGCCATAATATATATGATTTATAAAATATTTAACATACCCATGTTGCCAAGTATTCCATCATATCTAAATGACTTATCCAAATACACCAGTAGTTCTTCAATGTGTTGTGCCCGTAATTTGTGATCCCCAATGTAAGTTCTTGAAGTATCATCATCCTTTGTCTGAAATATTTCAATAATTTATTGTATACATGTATCAACAAGAAACAATGGGCCAATGGGCAACAACACTCACCTAAGTAACTCTGGACCTGCAAGTTTTTTCCTATTATTAGTTTTATGAAAAATTTGACTCTATATCCCTTAGAGAAACAAGAGGCCAAAGGGTCATCTGATTTTTCTTACACACAAATATATAATTTGTTCTCCACTTTGTATGCTTGTATGTTTTGGCCTACAGATTTGAACTTACGTTGCGGCCTCAAACTGCCCATGGGGCTCATGACATAATTGAATCTACACTATTTGAGGATGCTTTCACATAATATGACTAATCACATTTTGAAAATTTTTGCATTATACACCTATGTTAAACCTTGATCAACCAATGTGACACCACCCTACCCCTGGGAGTCAAGATGAATGAACAAACTTGAATTTCCACCTGAGGATGCTTTTACATTAATATAACCAAGGCCATCCTTAAAAAAATGTTTCTTTGGAATTGCCGCCTGGGGGTTTTCAGACCCAGGAGGGAGGGAGGGATTTTTTTTTAAATTAAAGCTAAATGATTAAAAAAAAAATCTCAATGAACACTGGTAATGTCCATTTATCATCCTCTTTCTTTTATTAAGATCTTCCGTCTTCAGCGGAAGACCTTTCTGTTATTCTTAGGTTTCTTTTTCACTTTTATTATTGTTTTTTTTTCTTACCGATTTTGTGCACGCGATTTCTCGAAAATGGCTTGATGGATTTTCATGAAACTTTCAGGACTTGTGTATCATCACTTGAATCTTTTTTGATGTCGTCACTTCCGGTCTGAGATATTGCCGATTTTATGTATTTTAAAGGGTTGTGTTGTCCAGAGTTTTTCTGAAAAATGAGTTGAGATAGAAACATGAAACTTTCAGGCATGATAGACCTATGTCTGTAGATGTGCCTTTCGTATTTGGCTTTTTCTGGAAACGCCGTACGTCAGCGGTCGCTATGGTCTGAAAAATGGTCTATCATAAATTTGAAAAATTTAAACACTTTTTCAACAGTATCTTTTTACCTGTAAATATTTTATCAAAACACATAGAACAAAAGTTGTTAAGAATGTCACGATCTTTGAACGGATATCAACTATTAGGGGCTGGCCCCTTAAATTAAGGGCCTAGAGGGGCCAAAAGTTTTTTTCTTATATCTCAAAACGTATTGAGAATTTGTAATATGTCAAAGAAGCAGAGTTGTTCAAAATGTCAAGCTTAATCTATTGGGGTCATCAAAAAACGTCCGGCGTCGTCACTTCCGGCCAAACCGGAAGTAGACGGAAAATGCGTATTTTTGCCGTTCTTGACAAGTGTTTTGGTAACATATGACTCTGGGAGCATAAAAATTAATTTTCGGTCCGTCGTCGTCACTTCCGGTCAAACCGGAAGTACCAAAAAATTGATTAACTTTTGCATTAATTAACATAGCTTTAGAGGATTCAAACCATTTTGGTGCGTTATTTCTCATTTTTGTTAAAAATGAAAGCTACTTCCGGTCAAAACAGGACGGAAGACCTACTCGTTGCTTTGCAACGAGCTTTGCTCTAGTTTTGTTAATATAATTTGGTCCGATTTTTAAAAAAAAAATATATACTTGTACACAGAACGGTACTCAAATATTAATCTCATTTAGATGTTAAGATCTGTTGATTTATTAATAGTTAAATTTCAACATCAAACTTCTAGTTTCTTAAGAATCTTTATTAAACAATACTTTTATCATATTTCGTAGTATTTTTCTTTGAAATTTACCCCCTTTGTTAAGACAACGCTTGCAAACAGTTTGAACCACACAAAATTTCTCAGGAATAGTTGGGATGTTTTGTGGAAAACTGGGAGGGGGTGCTTAGTACGTTCTCGAGTTTTCACCATGCATCAGTTTTAACATTACATTTCAAAGACTTGTCATTCAGTATTTGGGATAAAACGTTTCTGATCCATGCAATTTTTTAAGTGGGAACTGAACAATCATTTTTTTTTCAACTTGACGGCCTTATCAAGTTCAAAAAGCAGTCTATTACAATAGCTCTGTATCATTCAATTAAATTTTTTATTCACCTTTTATTTTAGAGATGCGTAAATGTTCTGCTCTTCAACACAACACTTGAATGTTTCCAACATGGTCTGTCATTTTGGCGGCTTTTATCTTGTCAAATCGCCACCTATAATCGCTATATCATAAATACTATGAAGAAAGCGTTTTATTGACCTGAGTTGTTAAATTAATGTGAGCTCAAACCCGACTTTAAAAACCTATTTCGAATAAACCTGTACTAAACAATGTAAGACGATAAAACAATAAAAAAAAATATTGTTAATATTTTGCCAATAAAACTTTTTGAGCAGGGGGTATTTTAATGAGGCGGGCGGCAATTCCAAACAAACTATAATTTTATTTTGGCCCAATCATAGCTTTTCTCTTTTTGAAAAGATTTTAAGAGATTTTTATGCCCCCGTTAAAAGAAATTTCGGGGGTATATAGTTTTTATGTGTCTGTCCATCTGCTTGTCTGTCTAGCTGTCTGTCTGTTTGTATGTCTGTCTGCAAAATATGTAACCTTACCCATATTTTTTGATTTAGTCAAGCTTTGACTTTCACATTTCACATGTGTATTCCTTGTGACAAGACATTTCTTTGAGTACCACCAAATTCGATCTTTTGACCTTAGAGTTTGACCTACTTTTACACAAAAATTCCAAACTTTTACTTTGGCTTTTGAACAATACATACTAAGACATTTATACTTCAAATATGAATTCTTTAATCCAAGACATTTCATTGGATATCAACGACCTTGACCTTTTGACCTTGACCTTGGAGATTTCTGTACTTATAGAAAAAAACTTCAACCTTGGCCATACCTATTGAACGGTAAGGGATAAGGCTTCTATACTTCACATATGTAATCCTTTTGAAAAGGCCCTTTATTTAATATCAAGATCTTTGACCCTTTGACCTTGGAGTTTGGCCTACTTTTAAAAAGCAAACTTCGACCATAACTATTAAAGTATTAGGGCTAGTGCTTTGATACTTTACATATTTAGTCCTTGAGACATGAACTTTCATTTTATATCAAGACCTTTGACCCTTTGACATTGATCTTGGAGTTTAACCTACTTTTTAAAATTTTCAACATTGGCCATAACTTCTGAACATTTAGGAATATGGCTATCATACTGTACATATATATTCTTTATGGCAAGACCTTTCATTGGATACTAAGTACCTTTAGCTGACATTTTGACCTTGGCAATTTTTGTACTGATGAAAAAATTTGAACCCTGGCCATAACTTCTAAATGCTAAGGGCTAGTGAACTCATGCTTAACATATGTAATCCTTGCGTAAAGACCCTTCATTGGATACCAAGAACTTTGACCCTTTGACTGTTAACTAAAGTTTGACCTATCGGTACTTCTGACAACAAAGTTTGATGATTCTAAGCCAATAAGTACCGAAGATACTTAAATATAGTCATAAAATGTCAAAAGTAGGTCACCGTGACCTAATTTTTGGTCGTCACTCTCTGAAAACCCAAGATGCATCAACTCACAAAGTTTGATGATTTTAAGCCAATAAATACCAAAGATGTACTTAAATATACCCATAAAATGTCAAAAGTAGGTCACCGTGACCTACATTTTTGTCGACATTTTTCAGAGTCCCAAGATGCATCTGCTGACCAAGTTTGATGATCATAGGTCTGAATGTAATCAAGGAAGGATATGGAGATAACGAACAGTATTCAATCTCAACGTCCATTAAACAATATACAAAATAAGAGCAGAGCAAACACGGACCTCTGAAACATCAGAGGTGGGATCAAGTGCCATGGAGGAGTGAGCATCCCCTGCTGACCGGTCACACCCGCTGTGTGCTCGTTGTCATGATCAGGAAATAACGGAAAAAATCCGTCGTCAATTCAGTGTATAAATAATGGACTAACAATTGGTATGAAAAACGTCAGTCAGCATATGACTCAATGATAAATTGTATTTGCTGACAAGGTCATTGTATCGACCATAGAATTTACGAAATGATGGCTTTAAACGAGACTGTTGATATTCTTGTTTCATCAACTTGCTTGTCAATAATTTACCTCTTTTAAGAAATTGTTCATACGTAGAGCACGCTCTTGCGTATCGAATCAACTGAGATAGATATACTCCGTATGCGTGATGAAGGTATATTGCTGCATAAGTAAGGGAAGTTGACGATAGAAAACTTAAAGTCATCAAGTTTATCATATAGCTTGGTTGTTAGATTACCATTAGTGTCTTTTTCAAGTAAAATATCCAAGTATGAAGCAGAAGTATCGGATTCTGTGGTATCTTTTATCTCAAGCTCACCAGGATATATCGTATCGACGTAGGAATGGAAATTATCATTATTAATTGACAATACGTCGTCGATATATCTAAATGTCGAGTTGAAGGCCACAGCAAGTGTTTTCTTCTTTTCACGCATAAGATTTTGTATAAATTCTGCTTCATATAAATATAAAAATAAGTCTGCTAATAACGGAGCGCAATTTGTACCCATGGGAATTCCAATAGATTGTTGGAATACCTGGTCTCCGAAAACCACATAGATATTGTCAATCAGAAACTCGAAGCATCTTCTTGATGTCAACTTCAGAGTACTTATGTGTGCAATCAGAATCTGTTTTAACAAAATAATTTTTCAAATGACCAATGACGAGGTAAGTAAATTTACAAGTTCCAATTTGTTGAAGAAGCAGCTGTCAATGATATCAAAAAGCCTTTTCATAGTTTAGAATGTTAGAACTATTTCATCTGTTTCTACGATCAATGAAATTGTTTCCTAGAAATAATTTTGTCCGTATTACGCAGAAAACCCGATGATCCGTAAGTGCATGTACATAAGTGCAGTATTTTTTTTAAAGTTTATAAGAAGACTTATTTACATAAGCATGACGGAAACATTGTACAAAATGAAATAAATCAGCGGA